CTGCAAATTTGCTTTCTTTGGAGAACTATTATAGTTGAGCCCGAGCGAGGGCGGCGCCATCTTTGTTGTTGTTACGGTGAAGCTACGTGATTGCAACGTGAGGGGATTACGTGCAAATCAGGAACTATCGCATGCGGCTAGTGAAACATGTTAATTTCTCCTTCTGGAAGCTAAACTTGATCTTTCTTTTGTTTAACACACCGAAGATATATCAAACCTGCGTATACAATCGTTTTTATTCGTTTCACTTTATCGTGAGTTACAAAAAACACGTTTTTAGCGAGGTAAATATTTCAAGTCGGCGATTTAGCCTGACCCTAGACTGACTAAAAAAATCGGCCTGCGGAGGTATCATTTTAGTCGAGGTTCACGTCATTTAGTCGTAGTGCTAGTCGAAGTTCGTTTTAAGAATACGAAATGACGTAATTTTAAAGTTTTAGCTCGGACTACGACTAAAGTTCGTTTTAAGAATACCGGGGTAAATATACCTATGTTACACACTCCCCTCTCTGAATTGCATCGTCTCGATGCAAATAATGTTATTTACCACAGGCCTATGTTATACATTTTATTCATTTCCCAACACTTTAAATTTAAAGTCATTAAAATAATCACGTAAACCACGTTTCCTCTTTGCTTTATGAATAAAACAAGGAACACCTAATTGATCATACGTCAATCTGTTTGGTGGCTTTCTCTGCCTTCCTGATGTTCTTCCATTCTGGTATAAGATCTCCCCTCTCTGAACATTTGATTCATCACACAAATTCTCCCCAGAAGATTGCACTGATACTCCAGGACTCACATTAGTTTCAGTCGCTGCTTCTCTCTCACCGGCATGGTCAATACTGTTTTGTTGTTCTCCATCATTTGACACTTCTTCAGGTTGGTCAACATCTATTTCATGATTCTCCATTTGTGTTGGTTCTTCCTCCAATTCATTTAACAGTCCATTTTCTCCGCCCAAAGAATTTGGTTCACTAGTAATCATTGGCGTGAACTCCGGAGAAGGTATAAATTCGACTGCATCAGGATTTAATAGAAGGAGGTGCAATATGTTCCATGATCTGTGGAGCTCTTAGAACTAAATCCTCCTCATCTGACTCTTCATCCTCAGTACTTCCTTCATCTTTGTGTACATGTCTGGATATAATTCTGGGCCTGTTTGATTGATTTCTTTTCCCAATATCCATTTCTTCTTCATTCACCATTTCTCCTACTGGTAATAAGTGATTTCGATGTAAATTCCTAAACTTTCCACTTCCATGCTCTGGTTTAACCGTATATACTGGAATTTCAGGTCCCAGTCTATCGACCACTACATAAATGGTCGAGTCTCATCTATCTACCAGCTTGGAAAGTCCTTTCTTAGCTATGTTTTTAACTAAAATCCTGTCTCCTTTCTGCAAATCATTGCCTCTGATCCTCTTGTCATACCTCTGCCGATTTCTAGAAGCCACCTTCTCTGCATTTTCACTAGCTATTGTGTATGCTTCCTGTAATCTATTTTGTAGTGTTTTTACATACTGTGTATGATTGGTGCTGTTTGATTGATGGTTTGGATCCACACCAAAAACAACATCAGCAGGGAGTCTTGGCTCCCTACCAAACATCAGTACATACGGAGAGAACTTAGTACTGTCATTGACTGAACAATTGTATGCATGTACTAACGTAGCTACGTGTTCACTCCAATGTTCCTTTCTCTCATTTCTAAGTGTTCCAAGCATATTCAACAACGTACGATTGAACCTCTCTGGCTGTGGGTCTCCTTGAGGGTGATATGGGCTAGTACGTGTCTTCCGAATTCCTAATAAGTAAGTCAATTCTCGAATAACTTTCGCCTCAAAATCTCGGCCTTGGTCACTATGAAGTCGCATTGGTAGTCCATAATGGCAAAAGTATTTTTCCCATAACACTTTAGCAACTGTATCGGCTTTTTGATTTCGAGTAGAGAACGCTTGGGCATACCTAGTAAAATGATCGGTAATGACCAAAATAGAATTCATACCTTTACGGTCCGCTTCTACAGACAGAAAGTCCATACACACCAATTCCATTGGTTGACTTGTTTTGATGGACACAAGTGGTGCTGCAACCGCTGGCAGAGTTTTCCGAGCCACACACCTAGGACAGTTATGTATCCATTTAGTTATTTGACCAGCCATGCCTGGCCAGAAAAATCTCTTGCGTACACAGGCTATAGTTCGTTCAATGCCTAAATGACCTTGGTTGTTGTGTAAAGCCCGAATTACTTCTTCTCTGTAATACTTCGGTAAAACTAACTGACTGTTTTTATCTCCAGTCAAAGGATCTGTAACCATTCGATACAAAATACCATCAACAATTTTCAGCTTTTTAGTCTGCTTCAGTAAGAGTTGTACTTCAGATGTTTCATTATGCAATGTTGTAACTCTTTCTCCCGTGGTTGTTAGATATTTTACCCTCATTATGTTGTTATCACTGTCTTGCCGTAGTTTCCAATCAACCTCTACCGTTCCGGCATCTAAACAGCTTGGACTTATGTAACTCTGTGGTATTGCTTCTGCTGACATGGCAATTGATAACACCAATGGTTCTGTTTCTTGTTCGTTCAGCAACTCTTCTTGTTTCTCCTTCGCCCTATAAGATGATAATTCATATATTGTGTCTTTTTCACAAAAATTTTGCACAAAAAATCGGATTTCGCTCCTGGTTTAGTCTTCCTTCCAATGTCTTTATACCAATTTGCTGTTGTAGTTTATCTTGTCCCTCTAAATCTGTTTTATATGGTCTACGAGAAAACGCATCTGCATCTATGTTAGTCTTCCCTAATCTATAGTGTATGGTGAAATCATAATTTGTTAGATCTGCCAACCATCTCTGCCCAGTCGCGTCCAGCCTTGCCGAAGTAAGAATATACGTTAAGGGATTGTTATCAGTCATAACTTTGATCCCCTTTGCCTGGTATAAATAATCTTTGAATTTGTCACACACAGCCCATTTCAAACACAGAAACTCTAGTTTATGAGCCGGATAATTTCTCTCTGATTTCGTTAGGCCTCTACTGGCATACGCTACTGGGTGTAAACTCTGTCTCTTATACACATCTAGATGTGTATAAGAGACAGATATAGAACAGCTCCTAAACCTCCCCTACTTGCATCTGTGTGTACTATAAATGGCTGAGACATATCAGCAAACACTAGTACAGGTGCAGAACTCAATAGCTGTTTCAATGTCAAGAATGAATGTTCACATTGATCTGTCCATCTTTCACCAAATGATTTAGTAGTTTCTCTTGAATCATGGTTTACACTAATAGATTGTCTCTTGCATTTTGTTTGAAGTTCCTGTCTTGATGTTAAAGCATGTAATAGCTGGGCAATGCTGGAATATCCCTGAACAAATCTCCTGTAAAATCCTGTAAATCCCAGGAAACGATTTTAACTCTTTAATGTTATTAGGTCTTGGCCATGACACCAAAGCTGAAATTTTGTCGGGATCGGTCTTAACGCCATCTTCAGAAACAATGTGTCCTAAATATTTCACTGATTTACAACATAGCTGGCACTTATTTGGTGAAACCTTCAGGTTAAATTCAGATAGTCTATCGAATACTCTCATCAGCCTCTCTTCCATCTGTTCTAATGTCTCTGCATATACAATAATGTCATCCATATACACCAACATTTCAACCATGTTGAGCCCTGCCATGATTTTTCCATCATTCTCTGAAAAGTTGCTGGTGCTCCTTTTATACCCTGAGGCATTCGGTTGAATTCATAGAACCCAGCAGGACATATGAACGCTGTTTTCTGCTTATCTTCTTCTCTCATCGGTATTTGATAAAATCCCGATTTTAAATCTATAACAGAGAACCATTTACTTCCATTAAGGCAATCAAGTGCATCTTGTATAACTGGTACAGTATACTGATCTGGAAGAGTTCTTCCGTTTAATTTCCTGTAATCAACACAAAGTCTCATAGCTCCATTTTTCTTCCTCACAATTACAATAGGTGAAGCATATTGACTTCGAGACTCACGGATAATCCCAATGATCTAACATCTGCTGAAGATGTTCTGCTAAGTCTTTTAAATCTGCTGGAGCAATCCTTCTTGATCGTTCCCTAAATGGTTCATCGTTGTTCGTTCGTATATTATGTTCCATCTGATTAGTCATACCAAGATCCCAATCATGCATTGAGAACACATCTTTTCTGGCTTTCATTTGGTCAAGTAATTTGTTTTTCCAAAAATTAGAAATGGGTCCCCATGAAAATAGAAGGCTGTCAAATGTGTCAGGTTGGTTGAAGTCATTTGTAACGTTGTTAGTCTCATTAACTTGTATTGTTGCGCTACTACATACTGGTCGACATGATTGTAAAACACAAACATCAGAAATAATACAACCTGGTCTTAATATGATATCTTTATCACCGGTGTTCCTAAGTGACACTTTAACTTTACAGAACCTAACAGCTGGCAGCGTCGTTACATATGGAAGGGTATGTACTCCGACAGGTAAAGATTTTGAACAATCTACTACTACTGTTTTTTGGGTTAAACAATGGTTCCGTAAAATCCCTTGAACTTCTTTCACTTGTCCAACTTGAATATAGACTTTTTCATTTCGTTTTGGCCGCCTTCTCCTATCCTTTCATTGTCTCTTAAATCTCGATAAGCTTTAGGACAAGTAGATGACACTTGTAGCTTATTCATATATTGTTCACCTGCTATGTCTCTACACGCTTGTAAGCACCTTTTAAATATTCCTGAATTCGTGCCCACTATCAAAGGACAATCAGTTGAGCCTATTGTGTCTGGTACAATCAACATAGGCACCTCAAAAGACTTTCCTACACCATCAAATTCTTTTGGAAAACGGAGTTGATTATTGGACCAGCCTATATATTTGATTGTATCCCCTCCACCATGCCACACAACAAGATCATCTAGAGGATATAGTTGTTTGTTAAAACTTCTATAAAAACTCTCTGATAGTAGAGTGACCTGCGATCCAGTGTCTAACAAACATTTTGCAATTCGACCTTCAATGAAACACATCTGAGTAGTACTTTCTCCAACTAGTCCTTCAGGGATAGTTGGTTTAGGGCTTACTGATGATCGGGTATTCGGTTGCCCCTTCGTGAATACCCGTTGTTGTTTTCCTGCTTCCCCAGAACTAACTTCAGCAATTTCTTATTTACTGTTTCCAAATCCGGTGAATTTCTACAGTTTCTTTGGAAATGGCCAGAAAGCCCACACTTAAAACAAAAGTCGGGAGAGGCCCTCCTTCCACATGATGGCATCCAGTCCCGCTTGGACTCAACTCTTTCTGGGTTTGGTCTAATGTATGGAGTATTATCTTCCATTCGCTCTTGTCGTTTGAAACTAAACATTTTCACTTGGTTTTCCAAATCTGCCAAGCGCTCGGCTATTCTCGGCTCAACAGTTGCACTTTTAACCTCAACTCTGCTCCTCCTTTGCATCTGTTTAGATTCCTTCTCCTCCTCCAACCGCCTCAAACTGTTTAGTAATTGAAGGTATTTTGGTGGCTCTTCGACTTTTTCACGAAGTTGCAGAGTTGTGATTACTAACTCATCGTACAACAACCCTCTTATGAATTGTCGTAGTCTTGTTGAATTTGCTTGTTCTCTTTGTATCCCACCTTTTCTGACTACTTGTCTCAGGGATGTTTGCAGTCGCCGGATGAAATCAGATGGAGACTCTTGCTCCTTCTGTTTTAGGTTGTGAAATTTCATCAGTAATTCGTCGCCTGTCTGTGTACAACCAAATGACAGTTCAAGGGCAGCCAAATATTCTTGAGATGTAGCATTTGGATTATCTTGTCTAAGATCACAAATCACTTCTGCTGCTGGGTATCTTAGTGCTTCACGTATTTTCTGTTTCCTCTCTGAATCAGACATATCTCCCCACTCATCTAATTGGCTTTCGGCTTGCTCTATCCACGTCTCCCACCTATCTTCGTCCTTTGGAAAGTCTGTTTTTCCAGAGAAAAATCGGAGTCGCCTATACTTTCCGCTAGTTATCACCTCCATTGGGAATCTACTCTCCAATTTATTCTCAACATTCTTCGGTTGTGTTAGTAAACCATCTAATTCGGTCTGGCTTAACAGGTCGTTCACGTATAATCGTTCCACCGCTACATCTCTCTTCCCTTCAATCAATAATATGTCAAATTTACTAATATCTCCATTTATATGGAGTATGTCTTCCTCTCCCAGTTCTAAATTACAAGCATCTTCGCAAAATTCGCATAATATGTGAGTTTCTGCTATCCCACTAACTATTCTTTCTCTTTGGACCAGTCCTTTGATCTTGGTAGACAGTCCCGTCATTAATGATATCAACAAAGTTCTGTTGGATGCATTCAGATTTCTTGATCTGAGTAAGATTGCATTATTTGGATTAATGCCTTCCTTTTTACACCAATCTCTTGCTAAGCTTCGAAATTCCTCCATTCTCGCTGTCGGTTATTTAATAATACAATAGCTCCTTCCCGTGACGTAATTGCAAGTTGACAAAGATAAGTTTCCCGGATGACCCCCCAAAATGTAACCGGAATTCCTATGTTGAATAGTCGATCAATGAGAATACTTGCAAACTTTTAAAATTGTTGTGTCTCTTTAATTCCTAATAGCAGAATTAAACATAAAACTAAGAGCAAAACAAAGACATTCGAATAGTAAAACATTTTAAACAATTAGTCTAACATCAAACGGAAATACTATTATTGTATTATTATAATTATATTATGAACAACAATATCGAAAAGAGTTGTTTTATCAATAAGCCTATGCCT